ACCCCTCACTCACCTCACGCCCCCACAGCCACTGCTTCCGCCCATCTTCACACGTCGCTGCCGCCCAACCAGTCTCTCGCCATCACGATAGCCGCCCAGTGAACGAAAACACTCTTTTCCCCTGTGGCCTCTCCTGACGCTGACGACACGAGAGCTCCTCGCCCGCTTCTCTTCTCTGTCTCTTCGTTCAAGGAACCTTCTATTCGTTCATACAGGAACCATCTACTCACACAACTCCTCTATTCGCACACCATTTATTCGCACAACCACTCTACTCACATAACTCTATTCGCACAACCACTTTACTCATACAACTCTATTCGCACAACCACTCTTACGCTACAACTCTCTTTTCGCGCAACACCTACTCACACAACTCCTCTTTTCGCGCAACCACTACTCACACAACTCTCTATTCGAAACCACTCTTCACAACTCCTCTTTTCGCCGCAACCACTCTACAACTCTATTCGCACAACCACTCTACTCACACAACTCTTCTATTCGCACAACCACTCTACTCACACAACTCCTCTATTCGCACAACCCTGAACCCTGCCGGCCTCGGATTCGAAACCCTCTCGAGGCTTCGAACCCAAAGTTAGACGAAGCTTCAACCCCCGTTTCCCTGGTCACCCTATGCTGTTTTTGAGAACCCTACACTGTGCTGTATCTTCCAATATAATCCATTTTATATACTGTATCCGAAATACCATGTCGCGATTACCTTGACAAAATAAAAGACCTGTTCCTCGCAGACATATTACAGTCTGTGTTTAGTATGTTGCAGTTTGACTTAGAGTGATAATGTAAACTTCACATTCCAATTTTGCGGGAAATCCAATGGGGGAATATTTTCCAAATGAGAGACTTCACATTTTGGAATACATCCTTTTTGTTTAATGTTCATTCATTTGATTATTCATTCAATAAATCTATTCGTAAATCAACCAGTCCATAAACAGTGTCATGAAATACACTTGAGACTGTTATAAGGAAAGGAAATTCGTTGATTTCATATTTGTATAATAAGGAAAGCATATATAATTGTTATCCATACTAAAGAGTATACAGAAAAGGAAGAAACAAACGTTGATTATGATTTTATTTGTGTTTTTTCATTAATCATCTATTAAGTGATTTTGTTTATGGTTGTTTTGAAGCCAGGAATGGATAGTACAGACCCCAAGGGATATTTGTCATTATATGTACATAGATTTGAACACACACGCACATGCACATCAATAAACATGCTTATGTATGTATATATATATATATATATATATATATATATATATATATATATATATATATATATATATATATATATATATATATATTATATTATATATATATATATACAGATTTATATACATGTACATATATGCATGTATGTATACATATATATATATATATATATATATATATATATATATATATATATATATATATATATATATATATATATATATATATATATATATATATATATATATATATACATATATATATATATATATATATATATATAGTAGATATAGATATATGTATATATATGTATTATATATATATATATATATATATATATATATATATATATATATATATATATATATATTATATATACATATATAAATATAATATATATATATATATATATATATATATATATATATATATATATATATGTATGTATTATATATACATATATAATGTATATATACATATATATATATATATATATATATATATATATATATTATATATATATATATATGTATGTATGTATATAAACAAACGTGTGTGTACATAAACAAATATTAATAAATACACGATCAAATATGTGAATTCTGCTCTTGTAAATATGAATTAAGTTACATGGGTACATTCATACATACATACATACAAGCATACCTAGACAAACTTACGAATGTATGTATGTATGTGTGTGTGAGCGCGTGTGTTTGCGCGCACACACACACACACATTTATATATATGTATATACATGTGTGTGTGTGTACATATATATGTACTATATATATATATATATATATATATATATATATATATATATATATATATATATACATACATATACATATACATTATATCTATATATATTAATAAATATATATATATAAATATATATATATATATATATATATATATATATATAATATATATATATATATATATATATATATTATATATATATATATATAAATTCATATGTAGATGTGTGTAGACACACACACACACATCCATGAACAAAAAGGCGAATTTTGCTCTTGTAAATATAATTTAAGATAATGTCATTGTGATTTTGATTAATCGATGTGCATTGAACAAAATGTTGTTAGGATATTGTTAAAAAAAAAAAACAACATGGTCTGCATTTGTGTTTTGTAAATATAACGCTGTAAGTAAAGATAAAAAAAGTGAAATAAAGATATATATCGTAGGACTTTCTGATGTTACATTTGATAGAAAAAAAGAAAAAAATTATCTGGTGCAATAGCATTAAAAAAAGATTAATAATAAAAAAAAAAATGTAGCACTGGAAATCCTTTTAAACATTTCTGAAATATTATCAACTCTTGGAGATTTAGATGTAGTGTATCGCTTATGAAAATTTATGTAAATAAATAATCAAACTTCTTGTTGGGATTGATTTCTTACCTATAAAAAGTAGTAGTATTTAGATTTAAGATTTTATTATATGTCACTACTCTCTCTGTCTCTCTCTCTTTCTCTGTCTCTCTCTCTCTTCTCTCCTCTCTCTTCTCTCTTCTCTCTCTCTCTCTCTCTCTCTCTCTCTCTCTCTCTCTCTCTCTCTCTCTCTCTCCTCTCATCTCCTCTCTTCCGCCCCCTTCTTCCTTCCCTACGCCCCTCTTTCCTTCCTTTCGCTCTCTCCCTCTCTCTCTTTCTCCCCCCTTCTCTCTTTCTTTTTCCATACCCCTTCTCTCCATTCTCTTTCTACCCTTCCCCCACAAGCCAAAGGTCCGCCCCTTAGCCAATATAAAGGCAGGGATACCTCTCCTCCTTTATCCGGCCCGAGATAGACCGCAGATACAGGCCGGCTCGCCATCAATACAGTATAATACAGAGCAGGTCACGGAGGAGAGAGAGAGCGAGAGAGAGAGAGAGAGAGAGAGAGAGAGAGGAGAAAAAAAAAATCTTAAGAGGCACCACAATGCCCGAAGGAACAGTATATAAATGACGGTATCTGTGGCGGGTTCCTCAAGACGTCTTTTAAAGTGCAGGGGCGTGTAAAACCACAGATTAAGATGATCTGGGGGCCGCGGCTCGGAGGCTCGTACAACCTCTCCTCGGACTAGGTCCTCCGCTGGGTGTGTGCGTGGTGCGTGCGGGTGTGTGTGTGTGAGTGGGTGTGTGTGTGTGCGTGCGGCTGTGTGTGTGTGCGTGCTTTCAGCGGCCGTGTAGGTGTGTGTGTCGGTTTATTGCAGTATGTACGTGCCTGGGGATCAAAAATCTAGACTGTCAATGGATCATATGAAGAAATGACGCGGCTATTTATAAATTTATAAATGATGACATAATTATGATATTGAATTAAAGATAAAAAATATGATTGTAGAATGATATACATACAAGTGATGATAGCATTATTTTCATTACTTGATCATGAATAAGCGTAATGTATCCAAATACAGAATAAGTATAGATAACAATTTTGTCTATTAGAATTGAGAGAGAGAGAGAGAGAGAGAGAGAGAGAGAGAGAGGAGAGAGAGAGAGAGAGAGAGAGAGAGAGAGAGAGAGAGAGAGAGAGAGAGAGAGAGAGAGAGAAGAGAGAGAGAGAGAGAGAGAGAGAGAGAGAGAGAGAGAGAGAGAGAGAGAGAGAAGAGAGAGAGAGAGAGAGAGAGAGAGAGAAATACGACCGAAAATATCCTTAAAAAATTACAATATTCAGTGATAAAAAATGAAGTGAATCGACACAGGAAACATCCACATTATTAATTCACAACCAATTTTCACAATTCCAATAAAACAGATATTTTAGAGGACTTAGATATATTCTTATTTTTTATGATGACAATGGTGATGAATATAAGAGGGATGATAACAATAATTATGATAATGATAAAGTGATACCACAAATATAATGACGATCATTACAATGATGATAAAGATTATAATAATAATAATGAAATATTAGTAGAATAATAATAGCAGTGATGACAATAATTGCTGTGATATTAAAGATAATATTGATGATAAGAATAGTCTCAATGATAAAAATACGCTACTACAGCTGATGCTACTGATAATGATAATGATAATGAAAATAATAATGAAAATTATGAAAGTAATGATAATGATAATGAAAAAAAAAGATAATCAGGATAATGATGATAGATTAATGATAATAAGGATAATGATGATAATAACAATTTAATGATAATGAAGATAGTAATGAATCTAACACTGTTGACGGTAATAATGATAACAATAATAATACTATTACTAACAACAATTATCATAATAGTTATGATGATGATAATAATAATAATAATGATAATAATGATAATGCTGTAATATTGATAATTATAACTGTAATAGTTATAAGAGTGATGATAACATGATAAAGATGATGCTAATGATAATAATGATAACTTTAATGACAATAATAATGATATTGATAACGATAATGAGAAAAATAATGATAATGCATATGATAATAACAATGACAATGACGATGATAACAAGGATGATAATTAATAACGATCATAATAATAATGGAGATGATAATAATTATGATAATAATGATATCAGCAACAGCAACAAAGAATATAATAATAATGATGATAACATTGATAATAATAATAATAATGATTATAATATAATAATAATAATATATAGTAATAATTAATATTATTAATAATACCGATGATAGAAGTAATGAAGATAATAGTAAACATAATAACAATAATAGTAACGATAATAGTAACAATAGTTATAATGATAATAATAATAG